GCTCAAACCTAGACGCTTTCACACTTATCTGCAAATTAGTTCAGAAACAGTTATTCAGATTGAACTGAAATAATGTAGCTAACGAAAGCCCATCAAGTTGAAATGGAAGAACGGGAGTGTTTGTTGCTCTTGTTTTTTGACAGCAGGTCAGAACACCATAAGGTGTTCATGCAGCTAGATCAAGGAGGTGCTATAGGCCCAATATTTAGAATCCCTAAGTGGCTTTGGAAACCATAATGGGCCAAATCTTCAGCTGGTATGGACTGGTGTAAATCCATTGGGTCCATTCAGATCTGGCCTTACATGAATGGAAACAATTGCCGATTTTGGTGAGTTATTTCACTGGAAACTGTGGGTCAGATTCACCCCGATGTGACTCTCTGATGAATTGGATCAGTGTGTTTATAATCTTTGCTGGAGACCCAAATACAACATCACTGAGTGGGCACAGATAAACCAATAAGAGCAACATTGATTGGTTGATAAAACGTGGTTGCCGAACTCTAGAAGGGTCAGCTGGAAACAAGCTAATGAAATAACGAAGTGAACAATTAACAAAGTGACCGCCAGAGTCAGTGGAAGTTCTCACTGATATTTCTGCACCACTTGCTAAAACCATGCAGGCTCCTCAGGCCCCCCGGCTCATCCCCTCCAGGAAAAGCCAGCAGAAATAGGGAGGCATTGAAACACACATTGACAGTCAATAAATTTGGCTTCTCAGACCAGTATGGGGCGTGAGTCCACAGCTGGTGACCTCTAAGTGAAGAGACCCTACTTCCAGCCCCGGGTGTTTGATCCAAAGCCCACTGAAATCAATAGAAAGATACCTATTGACTTCAATGGCCTTTGGATCTGGTCCTAAAAATGGGAACTCTCAGTTTGAGTGACTTGACTGATCACAGCTGTTGAGACAGAACACGAGGAGAGAGGGTGTTTCTGTGGTAGCCATGATCCACACCATAAAGTGCTTTATAGGTCAAAACCAATGCCAGGAATTGCATCTAGAAACAGAGTCTCCTGTGAAGAGCTCTGCCAAGTAAGGGACTCATCCAAAGTCCATTGAAGCCTATGGAAAGACTTCCATGGTCATTGGCTCAGGTCCTAAGTTTGCAGCTGCTATTCTGCACTAGTTGAAGTTTGCAATGCAGGAATCCAGTCTAGAACCAACCAAGGACTGGCTCACTGGGGCAAGGTCCCTCCCCTGCCCCAGGAAAGGTTGTAACCTCCTCATCACATGCAGATGAAATGAAGTGGTTTGCTGCTACATCTACTTAACTGCTTAAGAGGCACTGGAGATCCACCAGGACTCCTGGATCCCATAACAAAAATCAGGCAAAGATCCTCATTGTAGGGAAGCCAAATGATATCGGATAGCGAGGACATTGCGCTTGCTGGCCCCGGGGCAGAGAGAGAGAAATTACCATCTTAATGCCAGGAACAAATCAGTCTCTGAACCTCAGCATCGTTTGCATGGAATATTGTTGATGCCTTTGACAGACCATTCATTATTCATTGTTCCTGTGGACTCTCCAGAATGAAAACCCACAGGTAAGAACCTGACAGTCATCATCATCATCATGTTCCCATTACGTCTCTGGCATTTAGGGCAGCGATGAAGCTCCTCCACTCCTGTCTTCCAATGGTTCCCAGGTGTGCCCCAGGTTTTTCAGCTCGGCTACCACAGCTCATCGCCATGTTATTTTCAGGAAGCCTCATTTTTGCTTGCCTTCAGACGACCATCTTATTGCTATTCTGGTGATGGAATCAGTTTCCATCCGAAGTACATGGCGCAAGGCTGTTGTTAATCTTCCTGATCCCGTCCATCTGCTCTCGCTGCCACCCAGGATGTGTAAGCTGAAGCGTCTCATCTCTGCTGAGATGTCTGTGTGTTCCAAAAACCAAGTTTGGTTTTTGTCTTGGTGGTGAGCACTTCAGTCTTCATGCCAGTGGCTTCCTCTCTGCTTTCACTGCTGGCAGTCCTACGGGTCGTTGACACCTGCAGGCCATCACACACAGTAATGGTCGACTTCTCCACTGCTGTTTCCATAACATATTTTGTTTTTTATGGGACAGGATTGCTAGCCCTGTGCCTAACCCCCAACCTGGAAGGCCAGGATGTCTGTTTTGTCTGACCCCTCCTCCACAGACCAATTCGGCATGGTTGAACCTGCCAGGAGCAAAAAGCCACTGGCGACACAGACTCTGGGGATCGTTAGAGCGTGCAAGCTGTCCCACCATGACAAGGCACGGACACCAGAGGACAGAACCTGGCAGTGCTTGGTGGTTTTGTTCCATGTACACGAGGTGTTCTGAAGGAGCAACAGGCGATGCCTCCAGCTGTATATGTCAGCCCAGAACCATTTTATCCCAGTGCCCCTTACCAAGGGGACAATGGCAGTGTTAGAGAGTTTATGGGTGCCTGGAATCCCTGCCCTTGGATTATATTGTATCTAGGAATTGGAGTTTTCTGAACAGGCCCTTGGAACAGTTTCATAGGAGGGTCAGAGCCTCTGCTGTTGCAAACCAACCCAGTCAATGGTGCTACACTGGTATCATCAACTGAGCCCAACATGTGCCATGAGAGAGGCGCTTGCACTGTGAGCTCTTGCAAGCAAGGCAGCACTGGAGTGGCTCTGTACAGGGGAGATGAGAGCTCAAAGGGAACCCCAGGTGCTGGACATGATCCCAGGGGGCGATTTCCCCCCCTCTGAGCTGGCATTGAATCAAAACAGCAGCATGATGTTAGGGACTCAAAGGCAGCCCGTTGCAAGGGAAAGGGCTCTGTAGACCTAGAGTAGAGCTCTGCCCCTCGTTTCTCACATAACAGAAAATATTTGCTTTGGAAAGGGCTGATGTTTCTTGCATTGCAATGTCACAGCCGAATCACCTTGGGGAACAGTGACATCACCCCAAACCTAGGAGTCAGCTTGCATGTGGTTTTGCCTCACAGGTTCCAGGACATGTGGTTACCCATCTCCATCGTACTGAAGAGTCTGGCCAACTTCTCAGATCCTCACAACATAATCTTCCTTTTATTTAATTTGCAAATGACCTACTCGCAGCCATAGTTTCATGAGAGATTGGGGTGTACAGATACATGAGAGATTGGGGTGTACAGATAAATCAAAATAAAGGTTAGAAAGGGTTACCGAGAACAGAAAGTTTGAAGTTTCTGCTGATGGTCAAACTGTTCCATGTGGAAATGTAATCACGTGAGCATGTCTCCCCCAACACACGCAGACACAGCGTTCAGATCTCCCAGGTCCAGATCCTCAACAGTGTTTAGCTGTCTAACTCCCAGTGAGGATCTGGGTCGCAGTCTGTCCCTTACGCACGCACAGGGCCATATACACAGACACAATCTCTTCCAACACAGACACACTCACACTCTCATACACAGACACTCACTCCCCCAATAGGTATGTACCCAGATACACACGTGAATACATATGCCCATGGCCACACACACACACAAATCACATATGTCTGCCATTAGGATATTTCCCCTGATAGTCAATGAATGTCTACAGTCTGTTCGGTGACCTTCTCCTCTTGCCTCCACATGTAATAAGCTTTTTCGACGGCAATTCCGCTCCGTAGGGGCTGACAAAAGCCCCATTTCAGTTTAATTGGGGCTATAATCTGTGGAAAAAAATGACCAGATTTGGGCAGAAATCAGCTAGACTTCTCTGATCTCAGCCTGAGGCTTTTGACACTCCCTCCAGCTGGGCTTTTGTGTAGCAGGGCAGTGTCTACACTGCATTGTAAATCTGGACGCAGTGTTTCCAAGCCCATGCTTGAGCATCCACCCTGCATTGTAAACCTGGGTTTACAGTTGCTGGACCCGCGGTCTCTCACCTGGGCTAATGGGTCCATGCTGCCCTATGCAGACCTTCTGACTTGGATCTGCGGCTTGAGCTGCATCTGCACTGCAGAATGATAGAGCTTGGACTCAAGTCTCAGGGCATGGCTACACTTGCCAGGTGGGTACTAGGACCAGGGTCCTGAGTAGCTGACTCGAGTCAGCCTGATTTGTGTGTGGACAGAAGGGCGGGGTTGGTCTCAACCCTGAGGCTGAGCCTGGGTTTACGGTGCAGTGTAGACATACACAATGGGATTGAGAGGGGGGTAATTGTTTCTTCCCCTAGGAAGGACTCTGCAGGTGCAGAACTTACTGTGTGTGACTCTCTGGTGTGATTTGCTTTGTACCTGTCAGTAATTCTGGGAGTGAAAAACAGCCCAGTTATAAATGCGTCTATCTGCTCCGCCCAGTGTGCTTTAAACTCAGGACGACTGCAGGAGTGGGGATGGGGAGTGACTCCTGCTCTTTCCTCATGCTCCTTCCCTCCACACCCAGAGGCCACTGGGACCAGATCCCCAGCTGGGGTAAATGTGTGTTAATCAGCAGTGCTCCACTGACTTCAGTGGCCAAGTTCCACCAGCCACGGATCTGAACCAGTTGGCCTATGGGGGATCCTGGCTCTCACTGTGCTATGTCTAAACAAGTTGATAGGTCCCCTATGGGGACCGCCGCCAAAACCTTAATACTGCTGCTCCCTGCAGAGACTCACCCGGGGCCACCTGCTTATTTTACCTGATCCTTAGAGGAAAGAGATCAATGCTCCTCCCATGGGGCCCAAACCCCCTCCTCTGTACTTGCCTCCTTTTTGTTTTTTGCATTGTAGTAGTGCCCAGAGGCCCTGATCCGGGATCACGGCCCCCATTGTGCTCATTGCTGTACAAACATCCATCCATACACGACTACAATGCAAAGAACAAAAATGATAGAGGACGGTCCCTGCCCCAGAGAGTTTACACTCAAAGCTCAGCAAGGCAACAGGTGAATACAACAGCTGGGGTTAGGGGGACGGACAAGGTAACAGTGAAATGACCACTTGGAGTGTAATAAGTCACAGTATACCTACTGCCCACCCCTTTTCAAGCGTTAACTTTTATATTCCTTGTATGTAATGCCGGCATTTTCCTGTTGTTTTTTCCAGAGTCGTCTCCCTGGCATCAAAGTGAAATATCTTTTCCTTGCCTGGCTGGGCATCTTCGTGGGCAGCTGGGTGGTGTACATGCATTACTCATCCTATTCCGAACTGTGCAGAGGTCACGTCTGCCAGATGATAATCGTGAGTGCCGGCCACTTTCACTTGATCCTGCTGCTTTACTTCAGATCTGTGTGTTTTTCAAAGCCCTCAGGAAGGGGAGCGGGGGACTTGGGGCATTGGGAGGTAGTGTGATCAGAGCAGGGGACCGGACTCAGAAGTCCTGGCTATGTTTCACCGAGGGAAGCGATCGCTGTGATTGTTTGAATGTCATTTTTAACACATTTTGGGGGTTCTTGAGGATGAAAGGGGCCATATATAAAACTAAGAGAGGAGTGGGCTGAGAATCTCATAGGGGAGATGCTTTCCTGTGAGATTTCTCGTGCTTTGGCTTCCAGGCAATGGAGGGGAAACAGCCTGTTCCATGGTGTTTTCACATTTCAAAAATGAAGAAACACCCCAGCTAAAGATCCAGGCATTCACATACTGTGGAGAGGCTCAGAGCCTGATGTACACTTCATAGCTGGTGTGTGCTTCTATAATGGACTGAACCAAATCCCTGGACAAGAAGCCCACCAAATTCACGGATGTTGGAATCCCTTCCCATTGTTTGCACTGGTCTCAGTTCCCACAATGGGTTGATCCTGCCCCCTAGGGACTGAACAACATTAGGGCTGGCCAGAAAACAAGAATTCCTTTTCACAAAACATTTAGAGCTTTAGTCATTTGTTTTCATTCTGTGTCGGAGAGTATTTTTGTGAAAAAACAGAGAGAAAGAGTCCCAGGCAGAGCAGAGACTTGACCCCCAGTCTGAGAAACACTAACATCAAACCCAAGCAGCTTCCGTGACTGGTTTCAGTTCTGACAAATTGGCATTTTCCAGCAAAAAAAAAGTTTCATCAAAAAATTCCCAACCATCTCCCAAGCTTTGGAGAAATGTGGACACAACTCCAACCCAAGTTTTGTAGCTTGGCCTTATCTCTGATCTTAGCATTTCAGGACTGAGATGAGGTTTGGTTTGAGTTCTTATAAGGGGCCAGGAGTTGGGGGAGGTTTCTGTTTTCTCCCGGATGGAAGAGAGGGGATGACTGTAGCCAAATGATGCTGGAGGGCTTTTTGGCATGGATGTGACTCCTTCCCTTCGTGGGGAGATGATCTGCTGTACTTGGTTACATATCTAGGGAGCTCTATGGCCTTTATCCCCTAATATCTGAGTACCTTCTACTGAATGAGCCAGCTGCAGGGGGATCTGAGAATGGAACACGTCCATGTGGGCAGAGATGGAGTGAGGCGAACAATGTGGAAAACGTTTCTTGACAAACGCATGGCGTGAATGAATGGCAAGGGCCATGTGTGCAGCAGGGGTTCTCAGAATGAGTTCAGTCTCACACGGGGCCGTGTGGTGTCTCAACCCCTTGCATGCCCACGGGGGCAAGGTAAAGTAGGGCCAGGAATGGGTGTGTCTGAGGAGCTGACCTGGGCTTGGCTTCCAGCCTCATCATGCTAAGCAGACATGTAGCCAGGGCTCTCCCCTCTCAGGCCTCGCTCCTGGTACTCAGCTGGAGTAGCCTGGAGAGGAAAGATGTCCTTGCAATGAATGCCCTGGGCTGGGACTCAAGACATAGAATCACAGACGTGTAGGACTGGAAGGGACCTCAGTAGATCGTCTTGTCCAGTCCCCTGCACTCAAGGCAGGACATCTGGGTTCAAATCGCAGCTTTGCCCCAGACTCCCTGTGTGAGACCTTGGGCCTGTCACCTCGTCTTGGTGCCAGTTCCCCCTCGGTAACATGGGGTTAATCTATTTTTGGGGACTGTCTCAAACTCTGTGTTTATGGAGCTCCGACTGGGGGCTCGCTGGTAACACAAATAACTAAGAACATGAACTGATGAGGCAGGGTCCTTGCTCTGCAGTGCACTCGCCCCTGCTCACTCCTTCTCACCTTGTGCCAATACGCCCAGTGCCCTCAGCACGTCCTGGGCAGCCCTTCCCCTCCCAAGCAGCCTCCGGATGTGCTGAGCAAGCAGCGCTGCAAAGTGCTGTTACATGATTCCCCAGGGTGATGGCTGGAAAGCTGCTTCAAACCATCACGGGCCTTCTTACGAGGTTCCTTGGGCTTTATTAATAGATGTCTAATTAGAACGAACACCCCTTTGGTTGTCCCAGACACTCACCCAGTGCTTCCCTTCTGTGACCTCCCAGTGCCACAAGTGTCCGACCTGCAAAGAAGCCCACTTAGTATTCACCCGATAGCTGTAATTAGTGGGGAATCAAAGATCTTATATGCCACAGTTAACATACACAAGAGTTTTCAGCAGTGTAATGAGGCGTAGATGCCGGAGAATTTTCTGCTTCTCTGGCTCATTTCTTACTGCCTTCCTAACCCCATTAACACTTGTTGGGTTCTGCTTCGTCTCAGCTCACCTCTGCTCTCACCCAAACTTCCGCAATGGAAGTAACACCGGCCCCAGAGTGAGCTTTAGTGGGGGCCCACGGAGCCCCAGAACTGGGCAGGGCCCCTTCAGTTCAGATTTCCTTTAAAAAATGAGTCAATGTCTACCCGTTCTCATGGTACTGTTGCCAGGATAGGTATTCCCAAGGCCCTGACCCTGCTCCAGCTCACAAAGCTGGTCGTTGGGGCTTGAGACCATGCCCCTGGCTTCGTATAGCAGGAATGAGACAAAAGCAGCCCCATTTCCCCTGCATTCAGCAAGGGTGTCCACAAGAGCAGCAGCACCCTGGCCCCCTCGCATGTGGGGAAGAGCAGGCACAATATGTGATAAGGCGACGGCCTCAAGCATTGAAAGGAAGTTGCAAATGTTGCCGCCTTGAGAAGTGGCATCACTCCACAGTCACTCTCTCCCCCGACTCCCTCCTCCGAAGCCCCCTCCCTAAAACCCAGTGTGGCCTCTTGCCAAGACAGCCTCCTAATCTCCAGCCCATCTATTTCCTGGAGATCCACCTGTTGAAGCATCATCCAGGGTGTGGAGGTGCTGTTGACCCCAGGGAAGGTAGCAGCTTCCTCCCCTCTACCAACATTTTCCCTCCTCTCTGTGCTAGGACACTGTCCCCTCTCTTGCGGGAGAAGAACCCTCTGGCACTAGAGGATGTGAGCAAATGGCCAGACACGGGAGAACCAGCAGGGTAGATGGGACAGCCAGCATGTAGAGCTGTGCTAGCATGTCCAGACAATACCATTGTCTGGAGGGTGGGATCTGGGTACCGAATGCACAAGCATCTACTACTGAGCTGGCAGGAATATGGCCAAGATTTGCAAAAGCAACTGGTGACTTTGGGTGCCTCAGTAATCAACCTCAGATGCCTCAAAGGGGCATAATATTCAGAGGAGCTGAACACCCCTCCTCTGCAGGTCAGACTGCTTCAAAGTGACTCAGGATGGGCCCGCACCAACCAAGATAACGAGTCGCTTTGGAAAATCCTGTCCTAAGTCTTTCATCTGGGAGTGAGTAGAAGGCTAACAGAGGATAGGGGGCAGAGACTAGAGGGAGAGCCATTGCTGAATGCCTTGAGCCGGTGTATTATACCAACATGTATGCTTGGGAAGCTGAATTTTTCCAGCCTCATGCTGATTTGGTTTGGGGTGAATACACATCCGACGAGCAAGGATCACAGCTGCTTGGATGGCTATTTGTGGGGGGCCGAGCAAGTGACCCTACCTTGAGACTCCTGTGCCATGTGTTGACACTGGGACACAACATCCATGTCCTTTGGGTGCTGGATTGCATGAAGCCATGGGGATGTCTTACAGAAACATCCTGGGGGTTCCATTGCAGCCTGTTGTTGTGTTGGGAGAAGTTTGTGCTGCCATGCAAACCTCCCGAACTGACAAGACGACTAGAACGCCAAATGGGTGGGAGAGGGATTTGTTGAGGTTGGGGGGGGGTCATGTCCCCAAAATGCCAGGATGTCCTGTGCCAATGCAAAATGCACGCAGGGATGGACAGGTAGCCATTGTTCAGGATCACAGGATGGAGTCCAGTGTCTTCCTGTTATACCCACCCAATGCAAATCCTCGTCTGGCAAAGAAAATCATTCTGGGCCTGATCCTGAGCATCCACTGAGCACCCTCAACTCCCCCGATGCAATGCTCTCAGTATCTCTCCGGCTCAGACCCTGCAGGGCAGATCTCTTTGCTGCGAGATTAATGGTATTTTGCACAATAATAAAAAGAGCTAGTGTGTGTTAACAGGCATGGATGCTTGTGTGTGTATGTGCATGCTTAAACATCTGCGCACACGCGTTTGAGTGCATAGGCCTGTTTGTGTGAGCATGGTTGTATCTGTGCAGCCTTGTGCACATGTGAGAGTGTGTGTGTGTGTTTACTCCATTTAAATTCCCAGAAATGTATTTCCTGGCTGGAGCTGTGGATTTCATTGAGACAGATTAACTCTTCCCCCAAGTCCCCAACCCCACTCCCACTAACCAACTCCTGCAAATGGCCATGGTAACATTGTTACGTTCTAATCGGATAGTAGGAAGGAAGAAAGCAGTGATGGGGGGTGGGGGAGGGAGGATGTTAGTGGGATTGAAAAATGCTTTATTTGCCATGCAGGCTGAGCTGTCTAATTGAGCCAGCCAGCGCTGGGAAGCTATTCAAACCCAAAGGGATGGTGGATCGGGGGAGCTACGAGAAAGACAATATTGAGTAAACGATGTAACGCTGTCCATCAATTTTATTGTTAACTCTCTGTCATCTCCCTTTGGGGTTCTAAATCGCTACTAACGAGTTATTCGTTAAGGATGTAAATCCTGCTGTCAAGATTAGAATGAAATAGCGGCACGTTCATCTCCTTTTTTAATTTTTATTTTAAAGCGATGAAGGGTCTTTTCCACTGCAGGCCATGATACATCAACTTTTCCCAAAATAAATGGCCCACAGGGAGGAGGAGCAATCTTTATCAGAGTGTAATTCAGTGGGGAATCTAGGAATCTTCCCCAGACTTCAAATCCATGGGTGGAAATGTAGCGATCACCAGACTTCTTGAGAATTATCTAGGTTAAAATGACACCAGATCATCCAGACTCTGAATCAGATATTCACCCCATCTTGGTACCAACAATAA